GAATCCCTTAAAACCAAATTTTCCTCCCAAATGCAAATTCGAGTCACATTACAGAAATAAACAATCCTATTCCTATTCTTAATTGTGGCAGTCTGTCACAGAAATTATCAAATCTAAATTAAAGAACTTTTGTAACTAATAACCTAACTACTTATCGTCTCTACTTCTACATTTAAACATAAAACTCTCTTATTTTGTCTTCAAATATGCAATCCCTTTTTAGGTGTGTTGTCCTTGTCTGAATAGGGTCAAGTAGTACCATTTTCGCCGTTATGCATTATATTATTAGTATATCCTGAATTCCATATGGCCAATAACTTCGTCTTCAAGTAATCCTCTAGCTTAGTGTTTTACTATTCATTTTATTGTGCTTTTATTTATCTGGATATTAACTAGCGATCTGTCCTATTTTTATAATACTCACCCTCTCCAATTTGCTTTCTTGTGAAAATTAGGTGTGCTGCGCACTAGAAGCCTATTGTCAAGTGGCCCTCGGAAACTCCTGTTACAAGTGCTTGCAGAGGATTGCCATAAACCAGTGCCCATTGTCGCAGCGGTTGATGTGATGATTCAAGTTGTGGAGCAGGCATGCCGTGAAGGTTGGGTCGGTAAGTCAACGGCTCAAAAGGAAGGGTCAGAAAGGCGGTTAAATCAAGATTTATGTTATCAAGAACACATCCTTGGATAACTAAAAGTATAACAAATGAGGTTAAGGACCTCTTAGTCAGGATTTAAGGAAAATAGGAAGATCGAAAGAGCAGATATCACAATGGGAGAATTTCATCCTCCTTTGTCACTAAGAGATTTTTCATTCTGAGCATTTACGTAAGCTAAAATTAGGTTTATGAGATGACTGCATAATCTGTGGGTCTGTCCATATCTGCCATAATTCGTTTTTAAATAAGTGTATACGCGTAAATCTCTTTATTTTTTAAATTCAATTCGGTTTTGCCTAAAATGCATATAACTTTGCTTTGGATGAATTGAAGAGAATGCTTACTTTCCTTCCTTAATCTATCGATGCATTGTATCCAAAAATAGTTACTTGCGGTAACTCTTTTTGCCTCTTAACAAATTCTTTATGGGCGTATGCTCTTTTGGAGATAACGATGATGGTTATGCGAAATTTATACTAATTTTCACTCACAGTTAGATTGCATTTGCGGGCTACTAGGCTCAATACTTAAGAAGAACCTTCCGCTTTTTATACCGACATTTAGTGAAAGAGTCCAGGATATGAAAGCTTTAGGATATTTACGGCACTGAGCATTCCTCAGCCTGATTTTATTATGGGTACTATAATTAGGCTTACCTTGGTTGGTATGCAGTCACAGAAACAAGTGTGTTCGATAGGAAAGTGCAAATAGCATACATATTGTATTTACCTACCCAAGATGCGTATTGCTATATTATGTAAAATCATTTATAGACAGGAAACCTCATACGACCGCTTTTTCTTTAGGATCTATTTGTAGAATGGCCGTACTCCTTGATTTCCATTTTTAGCAATACTTGTGTTATTGACCTCAAGGAGGCCATATTTAATATATGCAGCAAAGTCTCGTGTACCAGAAGGACAAATTTGCCCATTTACTGGCAACCAGCTCTGCTGATCTTGCTTCAAGCCACATCGTTTAAAGGATTTGGAACTGCGGATGCAATCAAGGATTTTTACCGATGGTTGTCTTCTTTGGGAGCCTTTACTACTAAGATCTAAGGCCATAGATACATATTCTGATCGACTGAACAGCTTTGATCATATAATGCTGTGCGTGTAATTGATTATCATTTTTTTAAAGGATTTTACAGTTTAAGATACCAAATCGTCTGCATCTACCCTTAAAAATTAACTATTTTTTCGATGATCTATTGCCTACCGGATAAATAAGACCGAGTGAAAATGGCTTACTATAACCACCTATCGGTTCAATCGCACCCCAACTTGTTCCTTTACGGACGCTAAAATGTTGCCTAGACCAGTGATTCCCAAACTGTGCGCCGCGACCTCTTTACAGGGGCGCAACGAAATATAGTAAAAGCTTCAATTTGAGAAAATGTGCAGTGATTTGCTGGCTCATAAATTACATTAATTATTAAATATTAATTTAATGTCAATAAAGTAAAAAAAAATAATAAAGATACACGAGTTTTATTTATTTTTATCTCTTACTTACGAATAGTCATACTTAGGGTAGGGTGCCATAGAAAAAATTTTAATTTAAATAGGGCGCCGCGACTAGGAAAAGTTTGGTAACCACTGGCCTAGACGATTTAAAAGAAGAGTGGCTGCATCTCAAGTATAACCGTGGTCATGATAGGTGGCTTAGATTTCTACAAGCCAGGAGAGACGTTAAGGTTACCCTCTTTTGTCTTAAAGGCAGGTCAGTATCGGAAAGTGGAAACGTTATGATCAGAGCTAGTTACAATGGCCGCTCCGGTCCAAAAGGGGCCTACCCCCATAAGCATTAGCGTGTTGAGTATGACCCAACCAATTCCTTGAAGGAG